TAAATTTTTGGAAGAGTAAAACCGCAGCTTTAAAAATCTAAGTTTCTAGATAAAAATCAAAGTTTCAAATAAATAGAGAATTCGACGTTTAAAAATCAAAGTTGTCTCATATTAAAGCTCATTTTGAAATTAAAATCGAGATCTTGAAATTGCTGCAGTGGCGTTAAGGTTGCGAAATTTTAAGCTTCCGGAAGAGTTAAACGCAGCTTTAAAAATCAAGGTTTCTAGAATTAAAAATCAAAGTTTCGAAGTGTTAACATCGAGCTTTGAAATGAATCGAAGCTTACAGGTTTGAAACCAATGCCGAGCTTTGAAAGCTTCCAAAATGGCGGTAAAATTTTGAAATTTTAAATTTTTGGAAGAGTAATAACGCAGCTTTAAAAATCTAAGTTTCTAGATTTAAAAATCAAAGTTTCAAATAAATAGAGAATTCGACGTTTAAAAATCAAATGTGTCCCATATTAAAGCTCATTTTGAAATTAAAATCGAAATCTTGAAGTTGCTACAGTGGCGTTAAAGTTGCAAAATTTTAAGCTTCCGGAAGAATTAAACGCAGCCTTAAAAATCAATGTTTCTGGAATTAAAAATCAAAGTTTCAAAGTGTTAACATCGAGCTTTGGAATGAATGGAAGATTACACGTTTGAAACTAATACCGAGCTTTGAAAGCTTCCAAAATGGCAGTAAAATTTTGAAATTTTAAATTTTTGGAAGAGTAAAACCGCAACTTTAAAAATCTAAGTTTCTAGATAAAAATCAAAGTTTCAAATAAATAGAGAATTCGACGTTTAAAAATCAAAGTTGTCTCATATTAAAGCTCATTTTGAAATTAAAATCGAGATCTTGAAGTTGCTACAGTGGCGTTAAAGTTGCGAAATTTTAAGCTTCCGGAAGAATTAAACGCAGCTTTAAAAATCAATGTTTCTGGAATTAAAAATCAAAGTTTCAAAGTGTTAACATCGAGCTTTGAAATGAATGGAAGATTACATGTTTGAAACTAATACGAGCTTTGAAAGCTTCCAAAATGGCGGTAAAATTTTGAAATTTTAAATTTTTGGAAGAGTAAAACCGCAGCTTTAAAAATCTAAGTTTCTAGATAAAAATTAAAGTTTCAAATAAATAGAGAATTCGACGTTTAAAAATCAAAGTTGTCTCATATTAAAGCTCATTTTGAAATTAAAATTGAGACCTTGAAATTGCTGCAGTGGCGTTAAGGTTGCGAAATTTTAAGCTTCCGGAAGAGTTAAACGCAGCTTTAAAAATCAAGGTTTCTAGAATTAAAAATCAAAGTTTCAAAGTGTTAACATCGAGCTTTGAAATGAGTCGAAGATTACATGTTTAAAGCTCCTTTTTAAAAATAATTTGAAATCTTCCAGAAGAATAATAACGCAGCTTTTAAAATCAAGCTTCGAATTGTTCAAATCGAAATTTCAAATTAATCGAAGATTCGACGTTTAAAGCAATTTTTGAAATTAATACCGAGATTAGAAAACTTCTAGAATAGCGAATGGTGTTAAAGTTTCAAACTTTTAAGCTTCTAGAAGAATATTCGCGCAGCTTTAAAAATCAAAGTTTCTATGTTTAAAAATCAAAGCTGCCACATATTAAAGCTCATTTTGAAACTAAGATCAAGATTTTGAAGTTGCTACAATGGCATTAAAGTTTCGAAATTTTAAGCTTCAGGGAGAATAATAATGCAGCTTTAAAATCAAGGTTTCTACATTTAAAAATTAAAGTTTCAAATTGTTAACATCAAACTTTGAAATTAATCGAAGATTACACGTTTGAAGCTCCTTTTTAAAAATAATCTCGAGATTTGGAAGCTTCTACAACGCCTTTAAAGTTTCTAAATTTCTAATTTTTGGAAGAATAATAACGCAGCTTAAAAAATCAAAATTTCTAGATTTAAAAATGAAAGTTTCGAATTATTTAAATCGTACTTTCAAATGAATCGAGAATTCCACCTTTAAAGCTCCTTTTTAAAATCTGACATTAAAGTTTCAAAATTTTAAGCTTCCAGGAGAATAATAACGCAGCTTTTAAAATTAAGATTTGTGGGTATAAAAATGAAAGCTTCGAATTGTTCAAATCGAAATTTCAAATCAATCGAAGATTCGACGTTTAAAGCAATTTTTGAAATTAACACCGAGATTAGAAAGCTTCTAGAATGGCGAATGGTGTCAAAGTTTCAAACTTTTAAGCTTCTAGAAGAATATTCGCGCAGCTTTAAAAATCAAAGTTTCTATGTTTAAAAATCAAAGCTGCCACATATTAAAGCTCATTTTGAAACTAGATCAAGATTTGGAAGTTGCTACAATGGCATTACAGTTGCGAAATTTTAAGCTTCCTGGGGAATAATAACGCAGCTTTAAAAATCAAGGTTCTACATTAAAAATCAAAGTATCAAATTGTTAACATCGAGATTTGAAAGCTTCAAATTGTTTAAATCGAACTTTCAAATTAATTTTTAAATTACTTTTTGAAATCTGTAATGGCGTTTTTGAAATTACTTTGAAAGATTTAGAATTTTTCAGACTAGTGTTAGAGTTTCTAAATTTCTTAATTTTAAGCTTCTAGAAAAATTCAAAATAAATATCAAAAATTTTGCGAAGCAGAACTTTGGAATACATTTTTGAAGATTCCCCATTTAAAAATAAAAGCTCTTGATTTAAAGCTCACCTTTGAAATTAATGGGGAGAATTGGAAGTTTCTAGGGTAAAATAAAAGTTTCAAAATTTTGAGCTTCTAGATAAATAAAGCTAATAAAGCTCAAGCTATAATAATAATCAAAGTTTCTGCGTTCATGAGCTGCATTATAATCACCTTTGAAATTAACTTTAAAATTTTCGGATTCAAAATTATAATAAAAAATTTGAAAATTAATAAAAAAGCTTCAGAAAATGAAAATTTTAAAATTCTATGTTTCGAGAACTTTTAGGTTGTCGCTGCAACCTGGTGTAACGAAATTCTAAAATTAATGTTAAATATTCGAAAAGCTTCCAGAATAGCTTTAAAATTTGGGCATTTTAAACTACTAAAACGTCAACTTCGAGCTTCAAATTTAAAGCTTTAAATTGACACTGAAGTTTTAAAGGATTAGAGATTAGTGCTAAAAATTCAAAACACAGCTTTTACCTTAATATCGAAAATTCAGGATTTGAAAGCTTCTATAAAAACACTAAAAACGGGATTTTTAACCCCTAGAGGATGTTTCGACGTGCAAAAGTCAAATCATTCAAATTTGAAGCTTAAAAATTCAAGAAAATTTGAAACTGAAAAGCTCCTAAGCTAAAAGCTTTAGCTTTTAACTTGCGACTACGCCGTGGCTAAACAGAACTTTTACGTTATTGTTAAATGTTCGAGACCATAAATCTTCAGAACAGGGTTAAAGCTGGACGTTTAAAGCTCACCTTCGTAATTAATACCGCGATAGATTTAAAAGCTTTAGAGTTTTGACATTTTAAGCTTCCAGACGACTAATAATGCTCAAGTTTTAATAATCATGGTTTCCACGTTCAACAATAAAAGCGCAAAAATCTGTCACACAGTACTCGAAGTTCGAGCTTTAAAACCGACAATCTGCAAGATTTAAATATTGAATTTTTAAACTGCCATAGAATAGCAGATCCGCGCTTTAAAGACCGCATGATCAATACTAAAGCTTCAATATTTAATGGTTGAACTTTTCAGCAGGAAACTACAAAATGTTAAACTAAGTAGGTGATCAGCATGAAAAATAAATCCCGTAGGACGCATTTAAAGCTTCTAAATTTAGATCTTTAAAGCTCTTCGTAAAAAAAATGAAAATTCAATTTGAAAACGTTAAAAATCAAAGCTACAACAAATTAAAGCTCACTTTTAAAAATGAAACTGTAAATGTAAATTAGTAGTCGCACTTAAAGCTTTCAGTTTTTAAGCTGCAGCTGCGACTTCTCTTGTTAGAGCTTACGAAATGTTAAGCTTCTAGACGTATAATTAAGGTCGAATTTGTTAATTAAAGCTTGAGCTTGTACATTTTCTGGAACAGTGCTAAAGACTCACCTTTGTAATTTATACCGAGATTGATTTGAAAGCTTTCACAATAGCTTTAAAGTTTTGACGTTTTAAGCTTCTAGACGACTAATAAAGCTCAAGCATTAGTAATAATCACAGTTTCTACGTTCAACAATGAAAGCGTCATTATGTTAAAACTGAGCTTTTGGATTAATATCGAAAATTTGAAGTTTCAGCTGCGATTTCGAAATTTTAAAAAAGCTCCAAGAAGCTTTAAAGTTTTGATATTTTGAGCTTCCAGACGACCAGCTTTCGTAAAAAAATTAATATAATCGTTTCTAACGATTTGGTGGCCTCATTTGCTTCTAATTAATAATAACATCGCAGGATTATCACATCAAAGTTGTTTCCATAAATTCAACAGGTGACATTATGTCGATAAATATTCGATTAACGAACACGAAACCATTTTCGTAATATGACGTGTTGGTCGAAAATATTTTGGTTCAAAGTTGGCTGCGCTAATTAATTAAGCAAATTAATTGAATCAAAGCGTTTTTAATTTTCGTTTGAACTGGCACTCTTTTGTGAAATATAATAACATCACACAAAAAACGTCTCCTCAGTAATTTTCAGCCTCAATAAACGTAATTAAAAACATATTCATTTGATTGGTTTTTGCTCATCTCTTATTAAAAACGTTCAAACTGATTTTCGACTTCGTAATTTCAATTCCGCTCAAGCAGTGCGTGTAAAACGCTAAACGAACACAAACAGCGCCAAATGTGACCGCCGTAAAGTAAATAAACATATATTAGACTCCACTAATTAATTAATTAACGTAATCAAGCCAACGGCAAGTCAAAACTTTTTTCGTCTCTGTTTGTTAATTCGTGCAAAGCTGCCGCCATCTCGACCCACTCCCGCCGGAATTACCCGCCCGCCCCCATACAGAACCAGCACACTCCGCCGCCCTCCAGCCACAACACCGTCACCGTTTCTGTTTCAGATGGCCTTCCTCCAAAACCGCTCTATTTCTCTGGTGGACATGTACATCGACAACTCTGAGCCCTCTGAGAACGTCGGCCAGATCCACTTCTCCCTCGAGTACGACTTCCAGAACACGACGCTCATCCTGAGGATAATCCAGGTGATTAAAACCGACCGCCGCTTTTATTTTTACCGCGTTCGCGCCGCCGCCCATGAAATTAATTATTTCGACAGGAATGATTATACTTTCAGATAGACGGTAAGGCCGCATGAATATTTCAGCGTCGCGACCGTCTGCCGTTACTAAGGGAATAGGGAAGCATTCCCGGGTTCCGGGCCGATAATTTTCATTGGATTTTGTTCCGGGACACATCAAAAGAAGGGATAAAGAGTGTATATTTATCACACGGGCGCGGTAAATGAGATTCGGCGTTAATCAGGTCGCTTGGGGGTGGTTTTTCGGGCTGTTAAACGTCAAAAGGCGGATGGGATTGTCGGGTGATCAGGGGGTGATTGTTGGTTGGAACGCGGGAGCAGATGTTGAAAGATTCGCGAGGCGTCCAAGGAGGACGAATTTGCTTCCAGTTGTTTGCGTCGCCTGGAAACTGGGTTGGCGCGTAAACCAAACACTGTTTAAGGGATTTTCGCCTCTATTATTTTCCTTTCAGTCCTTACAAATTTTTAAAAATTTTAAATTTCTGGATGATCTTTTTTTTTTAATTTTGACATTTCCCTTTAATGCACTATTTTCTTTTCAAGATGCAGTGTTTCCAAAGTTCTTATTTTTGTGTAAAAAGTTTTTGTTTTATGGATTTTCAAAAATTTCAAAATTTCAGATGGAAAATCTTTAAAATTAATAGTGTTCATTTTTTTTTTTTTTTTAATAGAATTTATGACTAAACGTGTGTGCATAAACTTCTTTGAAAATTGGTCAGAAACACTATTGCTCCCAATATTCTTTAAAGATCTAGGATTCTAAGATCATTTAAGGATCTTGCAGAAAAACAAACACCAAGACTCCTTCAGGTTCTTCCTAAAGAAAATACTAGAGATCCCAAAATTTATTCAGTTCTTTCTAAAAATAACACTTTAGGGTCTCCCAAGATTCTTTTAAACTCTTCCAGAAATAAAAACACCTACGATTGTTCGGGTTCTTTCTAAAATAAAATACCAAGATCCTCCAAGATTCTTTGAAACTCTTTCAGAAAGAAAACACCAAGGATCCAAAAGGTTCTCTAAAACTGTTTCAGAACGAAAAACACTATTGGTCCTAAGATTCCTTCCAATGTTTTTCTAAAATAAAACACCAGAGCCCCAAAGATTATTTGAAACTCTTTCAGAAAAAAAAAACACTATTAGTCATAAGATTCCTTCAGGTCCTTCCTAAGACTTCTTTATATCCTTTGTAAAATAAAATACCCAGGAACCCCAAGATTCTTTTAGCTTGCTTCTAAAACAATATACTAGAGACCCCCAAGATTCTTTGTATGTCTTTCCAAAAGAAAAATGCTACGGGTCCTAAGAATCTTTCTAGTTCTTTCTAAATTGAAAGACCAGGGACCCCAAGATTCAATCTGGTTCTTTCTAAAATCAAAGACTATAGTCCCATTGGTGCTAAAATTCGTTCAATTATTTTCTAAAATAAAACACTAAAGACTTTAAGATTCTCTTAAGCATTTTTGGAAAGAAAAATACCATGGACCCCAAAATATTTTTTTTATTTTTAATAAAACACAAGGGACCCCAACACTTTATAAAACACTTTGTGATAGAAAAATGCCATGGATCCGAAAATTCTAAATGGTGTTTCTCGAAAATAAAACAGCAGAACCCCCAAAGATTTTTTGAAACTCTTTCAGAAAGAAAAATACCATTGGTCCTAAAATTCCTTCACGTTCTTCCTAAGATTCTTTTAGGTTCTTTCTAAGATTCCTTCATATTTTTTCTAAAATAAAACACCCAGGAACATCAAAGTTTTTTCAGCTTCTTTCTAAAACAAAAGCCATGGACCCCAACATTCTTTGGATGTCTTGCTGAAAGAAAAATACCATGGGTCCTAAGATTCTTTCTGGTTCTTTTTGAATTAAAAGACCAGGGACCCAAAATTCTTTCAGGTTCTTTCTAAAAAAAAACACCATGGTCCCTCAAGATTTTTTTAAGTATTTTTAGAAAAAAAGCGGCATGAATTCCAAAATTCTTTCAGTTATTTTCTAAAATAACACACTAGGGACCTCAAGATTCTTTGGGGTTATTTCTAACATAAAACATCAGGATTCCCCAGGATTCTTTTAAGCATTTTTGGAAAGAATTTTTTTTTTTTAATAAAACACAAGGGACCCCAACACTTTTTAAAACTTTTTGTGATAGAAAAATGCCATGGATCCGAAGATTCCAAATGGTGTTTCTCGAAAATAAAACACCAGAACCCCCAAAAATTTTTTTAAACTCTTTCAGAAAGAAAAATACCATTGGTCCTAAAATTCCTTCACGTTCTTCCTAAGATTCTTTCAGGTTCTTTCTAAGATTCTTTCATTTTCTTTCTAAAATAAAACACCCAGCAACATCAAATTTTTTCAGCTTCTTTCTAAAACAAAATACCATGGACCCCAACATTCTTTGGATGTCTTTCTGAAAGAAAAATACCATGGGTCCTAAGATTCTTTCTAGTTCTTTTTGAATTAAAAGACCAGAGACACAAAATTCTTTCAGGTTCTTTGTAAAAAAAAAACACCATGGTCCCTCAAGATTTTTTTTAGTATTTTTAGAAAAAAAGCGCCATGGATTCGAAAATTCTTTCAGTTATTTTCTAAAATAAAACACCACGGTCCCTCAAGATTTTTTGAAATATTTTTAGAAAAAAAAAGCGCCATGGATTTTAAAATTCTTTCAGTTATTTTCTAAAATAAAACACTAGGGACCTTAAGATTCTTTGGCGCTATTTCTAAAATACAACATCAGGATTCCCCAAGATTCTTTTAAGCATTTTTGGAAAAATTTTAAAAACTCTTTGTGATAGAAAAATGCCATGGATCCGAAAATTCCAAATGGTGTTTCTCGAAAATAGAACACCAAAACCCCCAAAAATTTTTTGAAACTCTTTCAGAAAGAAAAACACCATTTATAAGAACCCTAAAATTCCTTCGGGTTCTTCCCAAGATCCCTTTAAGTTCTTCCTAAGATTCCTTCGTATTCTTTCTAAAATAAAATATCCATGAACCTCATGGTTTTTTCAGCTTCTTTCTAAAACAAAATACCATGGGTTCTAAGATTCTTTCTAGTTCTTTCTGAATTTAAACACCAAAGTCCCAAAGATTCTTTAAAACTCTTTCAGAAAGAAAAACACCATGGGTTCCAAAATTCTTTCTATTTTTGTTTCGATGATGAAACGCTAGGGACCCCCAAAATTTTTTGAAACTCTTTCCGATAGAAAAATACTATGGGTACCAAAATTCTTGCAGGTTTTTTCTAAAATAAATCATGAAGGGGTCCTTAGATTCCTTCAGTTTTTTTCTAAAATAAAATACCTAGGACTCCCACATTCTTTCAGATTCTTTCTAAAATAAAACATTAGGGACTACCAATATTCTCTGAAATTCTTTCCTAAAGAAAAATACCATGGGTCCTAAGATTCTTTCAGGGTTCTTTCTAAAATAAAACATCCTGTGTCCTTCAAAATTCTTTCAAGTTTTTTTTAATAAGGCACAGGAACTTCCAACATTCTTTCTGAACAAAAATACCACGGATTCCCAAAATTGTTTCAGATTTTTTCCTAATATAAAACACTACGAACTCCCAGCATTATTTGAAACCTTTGCGAAAAAAGAGTACCATGAGTCCTAAGATTCTTATGTTATTTCTAAAATAAAACACCATGGTTCCAAAAAATTCTTCTAAACTCTTTCCGGAAGAAAAGTATCATTAGTCCTGATATTCCTTCGGGTTCTTTCTAAAGTAATACACCAGGAACCCTAATCTTCTTTCAGGTATAAAACACCAGGTTTGTCCAAGAATCTCTGAAACTCTTTCAGAAAAAAAAAACGCCGTGAGTTCCAAGATTCTGTTAGACATAAAGCACCAGGCTCTTTCTAAAATAAAACACCAGGGGCCCCCAACATTCTTTTAGATATAAAACACCAGAGTCCCCAAAAATCTTCGAAAATCTTTCAGAAAAGAAAAGAAGGGGCTCCAAAATGTTTCCAGGCTCTTTCTAAAATAAAACACCAGTTTCCCTCAAGACTCTTTGAAACTCAAGATTCTCTCAGATATAAAACACCAGGTTCCTCCAAGGTTCTTTCGAAAATAAAACACCCAGGGCACAACAATTTTTCGTGTTTTTTTTTTTCTAAAACAACCGGGAATTCCAATTGGATTCAGTACCAGTTGTAATAATAACTTTTGTAAACACGGTCTGTTGCTATAAAGAACTCGTAAGATTTATGGTCGTGAACACACACATTTAACCATAATCACACTATAAATTTAACTGGACTATAAAAATATGTAAATACAAGGTCAGTCAATAGCGTCGACCATTCGATACAGAAAAAAGTTAAGCATGAAAGCTCTTGAGCTTTACAAAGTGTTCTAGTTTTGTTTTAAAACACGAATTACAGTTACGCTTGGCTCTTTGATTCTTTTCCGTTAATCCCTCTGCACGTTCACGGCAGATATTTTCACCGGCAATTCAGCGGAATGTGGAAATAACTAGTTGGAAAACAGCCCCCGGAGCTCGCTTTAATCAACGTGTCTATTTCACTGCACTTTGAGCACCGAAATCATGCTTACGACTCGATGTAGCTGTTAACCATAAACATGTGTTCGGTGGTAATGAGATAAAAGTCATAAACGTGTGTAGCTCTAATATCGCTTAAATGGCTCCTCTATCCTACTTCTCGCTGACACATTCTGAATTCTCGTGGGTTGTTCGTGGCAGAGGGTGATTCGGCCGAAAGTGATAGTGGTCGGAGGCCCCAGGGCGCCACGATATTGCTAGACATATTTTTCCCTCGCCTAAAAATTTCATTCACGCCTTAGTAAATCCCCAGAATTTTCGCAGCGTTTTTCAGCCATAATTTAAGCTAACGAGTGGCAATAGTAAAAGTGATGTTTGCAGTCGCTTTGTGCTCCCACGCACTACACCAAACACCGCCAAAAACCGTA